TCCAAATATCATGTTCAGTTCTAATAGAGCATCTTAACATATTAAACAACTATTTTTATCAGTCTGAGCATAGTATTTAGTAATTGTTTATATTATTTTTCAGTTTGATCAGGATACTATTATCAACACTGCCTTTTAATTTGGACGGATCAGGTGGGGACTCAGACTGGATATTACATTGATTATAATTGTTCTACCATGTTTGAGGTATGTATTATCAATATCCGCTCGGAATGGTCGCCAGTCCATTCTGGGTTCTAGTGGCCTTAGTCTGCCCACTAGAGTGTGCACATGGTGTCCGGCATTTTTATGCTGGCAGATGTTCAGGTATCAGTCAGGTGATGATTATCACGACATCAGTATCAGATAATGATTATTCAGTACCGGTTTCAGTTCAGTTCAGCTATATATGCCAGGATCATGATATTGTATTAATTTCACTGTTTACTTTAGTATGAGTTTCTGCGGAGCACAGTGGATTTAGTGCTCACGCCCCACATTATTCATGTTTTTTTTTCAAGTCACAACATCGGAGCCGAGGAATGAGTTGGCGATCGGTTCAGGATTTTGTCTATATGTTTATAATGTTATGGCGACGCTACGTTTTTTCGCTGAGTTTTTACTTTTGTCAAACTTAGCCCTTTTTGATCCGATGACACGTTATCAGACTGTTGGTCTATTTTCTTAAAAATAAAAATGTCGGATTTAAAGTAAAGTCATGTATTATGGTAGCACTCCGAATCAGTATTTCGCCAATTAAATGTTTTTATTTTGAAAAACTTCGCGAAAAATGCACTTTCATTTTCATGAAATAGCGGGGTGTTACAGTTGGTATCAGAGCACGTTCCTGCGTCTCTGAAAATGTTTACGAGTCAAAAAATTTTTCAAAAACCTGAACACGTCACGCTCACGCCTCGCCGACTACAGGTAAGTGCTGATTCATGTTTTTAAATTATAAACAAATTACTATGTCTATGCTCAAAAATTTCTCAGTTATGATTTAGTTAAGATGCTCGAATCATGTTCAGAATCAGTAGTCAGTATACCTACGAGTAAATGTCAGTATTTCCCAGTTATGTTTAGCAACTCATCAAGAGATTTGAGCGCTTAAATGATCAGTTAAAATTGTTTCCTTGTATTTTGATCATGTTGAATCTTTCTAATATTCAGATGTCGCCCCGTAGGGAACCCGATCATCCGGTTGTCCCCCAGGCCACCGTAGTCGCACAGTTTCGCGACTACCACCCCGAGAAATTCTCCGGCCAGGGAGATCCTCGTATCGTAGACGAATGGGTTCAGGGCCTTGAAATGATTTTCAAGGTCATGGACTGTCCAGATCGCTATCGCGTTTTATGCGCACAGCTTCAGTTGACCGGTGATGCTCGACTCTGGTGGAACGCTTACTGGAGTATGCATCCCGGCGAGAAGGAAGGTTGTACCTGGGACAGATTCAAGGAGT